ATATGCCTAAGGCTATTTCTACGTTTGGATACACGTAAAGAATATTTTGTAATTAATAGAAGTAGGTGTTTGAGCCCCATAAAAGAGTTATCAATTTAGTATATGTTGACCTCTAGTTGGTAATACTGGATATGGTGCAATACCCACTTGTACCGTTGTTATCAGCTGCTGTTGCTGTTGTCAGTACAATTTAACGTTTCTGTGGTTTTTAAATATGTGAGTGTTCTCTCTAACCTGCAAGCTCATGCATTGTTTAACGTGCTCTACGTACTTCTACACACCGTAGATGGTTTTTATGTAAGCTCATACAGTGCTCTGTTCATAATTGTGCTCTCAAACAAAACCACATTGTTGCTATGAACAATGTAGACACTATTCTACAGTTTTAATGCACTGCTGTCCTATGCAGAGGATTCAATGAAATAGAGAATATCAGCTCAGATAACCAAGTCAATGTACAGCTCATGTGATCCATAAAGAGGCAGCTCAGCTAAACATCAAGGAGTATCCAAACACCAGAGAGAGTATTTGTTATATCCCTTAGCTCATAAGGCGACAATTGCGTTTTAAATATATAAATTAATTATTTAAAGGTTATGTACTTTATTTTAGGTTAAGTATTATCGGTCCACATGATCCTTATAAGCTATTGACGCCAACCGTTAATTTAGGAGTGTCATGGCGCAACAGTAGGTCTAAAGGTTCGACGACTCTTAACTCGGGTAAAAGTGATAATGCTTGAGACTTAAAATGTTTTATTTCAAAACTAAAATCGGAAGCATTTAGATTTTATACTTAATGGTTGCTTAATTGCATATTTTTGTATACAGGGTGATTTTTTTTATCATAACCCACTCAATTACTTACAGAATAATAATAATTAAAAAATTTTTTTTTATTATTATCTTTAGTTACACATTATTCTTGAATTATTAACTATGTAATACTTTTTAAGTTCATCCCTTATGCCTGGTAAGGGTGTCAACTTTGTTTTTTTAAATGGTAACACATATTTTGAATTTAATAAAATGTTTGAGTTTTTAATTTAATAACAAATGTCATTTGAATTTTTAATATAACTTTATTCGTTTATTAGATATAAACATTTAAAGTTTCAATTTTTTGAGTTAATATATAGGTATAATACACAAGGGATTACAAATACAGGTAGCTAATTGATTTTTTATGATATTGCTATCACAGTCACGGATTGTTTATTATCAATTATGACTATCAATAGATATACTTTCTGTATTGTCAGTTAGTGTATTTATAAACTCACAACAATGTGCCTTACTACCATTGATAATAACAATGCTTTGTACCTGCTAATATCGATGTCATAAAAAACCAATTAGCTACCTGTAATTTTAATCCCTAGTGTATTATACATGTATATTAACTCAAAAAATTGAAACTTTAAATGTTTATATCTAATAAACGAATAAAGTTATATTAAAAATTCAAATGACATTTGTTATTAAATTAAAAACTCAAACATTTTATTAAATTCAAAATATGTGTTACCATTTAAAAAAACAAAGTTGACACCCTTACCAGGCATAAGGGATGAACTTAAAAAGTATTACATAGTTAATAATTCAAGAATAATGTGTAACTAAAGATAATAATAAAAAAAAAATTTTTAATTATTATTATTCTGTAAGTAATTGAGTGGGTTATGATAAAAAAAATCACCCTGTATAGTCCAATGAATTAACCAACAAGCTACTACCGTACAAAAATTAAAAATCTTCAGCAATTTCATCTATATTTCCTCTTTTGTTAATCAGAAAAATTTGCTTTAATACCGAGATCATAAGCTAACACTTTTCCGCATTCAATTGACTTAAAATACTCAGAAAAAGAAACTTCTNATTGACTTAAAATACTCAGAAAAAGTAACTTACATTATATTTATAGATGAGCTTTGAGACGGCAATGCGATAACGATAATATTTTCTATTAATTATATGCCTAGCTAATATATTTTACAGCCCGGCATTTCACCGAATTGTTCCTTCGACATCCGTATCGATCAATAGATATTAAGTTCAACAAAGTTTTGTAAGTACAAAAATATTATTATAAGTAGTAAACTAAATACAATTTTCGACCAAAAAATCCAAGTATCAATAAATCTAAATGACATTAAAGTTATATGCAAATCATAACAGATAACATAATTTTTAACACACTTATATTAATTTCACATGTATGTTTGTTTGTTGTAAGTTTGTAACCTTCCACGCGACACGTATTATTATTCTTGCGTATCCAGTCGTCTATGGTCTTGAGACTAGACTGTCGAAACGCATTCACCCCACCCCGCTCACCATACGCTAGCAACTCTATTCCTGTATAATTTTAATTTTCGCTTTCATACCCGTACATGCGTGCTTATCATCAATATTATATATATATTATTTTAACATTTAAAGATTCAAATTTTTTTGAGTTAATATACATGTATAATACATAAAGGATTACAAATACAGGTAGCTAATTGGTTTTTTATGACGATATTAGCAAGCATATAGCCTTTATTATCAATGGTAAGACACATAGTCGTGAGTTTATAAACACACTAACTGGCAATATAGAAATTATACCAATTGCTAGTGATAATTGACAATAAACTCCGTGACTGTAACAAAGATGTCATAAAAAACTAAAAAGTGAAAAATAAATATAGTTTTAAAATACTGAAAAACACGCTTTTAAAGAATATCGAACTAAAAAGTTAAAAATAAGCTTAAAACAATAATGAACGAAAAATACTAGTATTATTGTTTTAAGCTTATTTTTAACTTTTTAGTTCGATATTCTTTAAAAGCGTGTTTTTCAGTTTTATTAAACTATATTTTTAACAAAAATTATTCATTTTACAATTTTGCGCCCGTTTTATAAACATTATATAAATAATTCATTTATGATAGTTATAAAGGATTTTAAGGGCTATCAATGCACGATTAGGCTAAAATAATTAAAATTTTTCGAAAAGGGGTTAATAATAAATTTAAAGAGTACAGTGGTGTAGTGTCCGGGGTCGAGCTGTTTATTTATATTTTAAAACATTAAAATGTTTAGTAAGAAAAAACAACTATATGAATGGCTTAGTGCAAATAAAAGTTCAGTATTCAATATAAGAAATTCACTATGAATTTATATTAACTTAAAGTGAAACTTATTGTGTATAAATTTGGAAAGTAAAAACTCAATTTTTTATTGAGATTGTATTTAAAATGTGATAAAGCTTTTATTTTATAACTTAAATACTATGATATTGAAGATTATTATGCTAAATTAAAATACATGGCTAGGCATAAACGAGTTTATAAGTTAAAGTTAAATTATATTTTTTAATTTAACGCAGATAATTAGACTTTACGTTTACTTGATTTTAACTTAATTTATATTTCGTTTCTTTTACGACTAATTTGTCTATAATACCTCCTCAAAATAAAATTCTAAATATTTTAAAATATTATTTTTATTAAAATTAGTGATGGGCATAATCGAGATATATAATCGAGATATCTCGATTATTTTCATAATCGAGATATTTCGATTATTGAAATCATATCTATTATATAATCGAGATATTCTGATTTTTTAAATAATATTGATTATTCTATAATCGAGTGATTATTTCTAATGATTTCTCGTTTATTATAAAAACAATGATTTCTTGATCTTGAAATGTATATAATCGAATAAAAGTTATTTCGAATGATGTCCATGAAACGATGAAACGAGAGAATACTATTTTTAAGTTTTTATTTAGCATAAATTATAGTCGAATTATTATTAAATTGTTGACTTCGAGTCTTCTTATTTTCAACTCGTTCAATCGCTACTCATGGCAACACCTTATCTGTCACATTTTTGGGAAGTATGTGACGATTAGAACAAAGTTTTGTCCTGAACTGGCTAAACTACTGAGTTCTGATTCTCTCACTAGTTGTGAATTTATGAAAAATCAATTAGGTGTGGAATTAGGTGTTTTAATTATGATGGTCAAGCAGGCTATTGCTACCTTATCTTATGTTTTTATTTTTAAATTTGTTATCGGTTTTTTTAAAATATAGGTAATAATTATTAAATAATAAAAATAACAACTTGTCTTTTATTTAAAGCACTTATTAATAATGCATTATTAATATATTATTGTTATTATTATTCCTAAATTATAGTTTAATATAATAATTATAAATAAACACCAACAAATAAAAAAAGCAAAATTAAATTAATAATTATTTACTATAGGTATATTTATTCATATTTCGAATAATTTTTCGATTCTCTCGATAAATAATAATAGTTGATTATTCTTATCATACGAGCAGACGATTTTAACTTCGAGTGATTTTTCGAGAGATTCACTCGATTATGAAAATCTCTCGATTACTAATCATTCGATTATCGAAATCATTCGATTATGCCCATCACTAATAAAAATTAGTTCAAAAATATTTGTCTTATTCAAGGAATAATATATAACATCATTTCACGGTTTTTCGTTGCTTTATGTCAATTTTATTGATAAACAACTTCTGCGAAATCGCGATCTCAGACAAGTTGAACCTTGTCTTTTCTCGGAAATAAATTCGTATATTAATAGATATCTACCGACATCATCGTTTACAGTAAACGTTCAATAAATAACCAGTCTACTATTATAAATATGTTTTTGATAATCAATTCTCTTTACATAGTCTCTATTAGGGTTTAATATTTTATTTTTAAAATTTTAGTTATTCTTCAGACCAATCAGAAAAGTTTTACCCGTACCGACTTAGGATTGAAAATCAATAAAAAGAGGTAGTTTTTAGCAATACCTCTTTTAATCGATTTTTTTTATCGAGTTTTTAGCAATTAACTCGTAAATTAGCGCTCTCATAACAAAAATTATTGAAACTAAATTGTAGATCGAATTGTTTTGTATAAATTAAGTTCTAATCGTTTTTCTTTAAAATCTATTTAGTTCACCAAAAAATTATTAAAAAATGTAATATTTAGTAAAATTATGAAAATTGAAATTTATTATGTTAAAACGGTAAATCAGGGGAGTCGTGGTGTGGCGGACCTGGAAGGCTCTCCTGAGGGAATTTAATATTTATTTGTTCTTCGGATTACCGTCTGGACTTCCAATTGAGCTATTCGCACAGAGCACTTCAAATGTGTATGGGAGGTAGTGATTATGTATAAAGAAATGAATATAACACTTTCGAAATAATGCTGGTTATAAATATTAAAATGTATTATAAGATAAACATTAAGTTACAAAAGAAAAGTAAAAATTAATATAAATGTATATATATATATACAAAGTAAACTTTCATAATAACAATGCAAGTATAAGAATATGCTTTACAGTTATAGTGTTTATTCTGTATTGGTAGACAATAGACTGACTAACGCTAGAAAATATTGATATAGCCAAAATAAAGGGGATTTCCACAGGCGGATAAATTATTTTATTAAGTAGTGGTAACACAACAGTGGCATACTTGGCTCAAGTATAGATGATATCTAACACTGATTAAAATTCCCATCATATTTAATTCGATAGGATATTTTATAAGCTTTAATTTGGTGTATAATTATTGCCTGGACTCGTCTCGGAACTTTGTCAAAAGTACAAAAAACCGTACTCAGGTCGGAGAATATATGATGTTATTACCGCAGATATTGCCCAGCAATTTCTTTTAAACGGGTTACTTGGAAACTCGAGTACCATTTTTGACTAATGCCATTCGATAGGATATTTTATAAGCTTTAATTTGGTGTATAATTATTGCCTGGACTCGTCTCGGAACTTTGTCAAAAGTACAAAAAAGCGTTCACAGGTCGGAGAATATGTAGTGTTATTACCGCAGATATTGCTCAGCAATTTCTCTTTTACGTGTTACTTGGAAACTCGAGTACCATTTTTGACTAATGCCATTCGATAGGATATTTTATAAGCTTT